TTACACATATTCCATCAAACGGGAGAAGAGAAACTAAACGTAAAAGAGGGATACTAAAAAAAAAATCGCTGAAAATCGCTTATGTGCGTAGTAGTAGTAGTAGTTCGTAGTTTTCACTCGAGAATGTAAAGCGACGTCGCAGTTAAATCTCTCGGAGTAAATTAGAAGAATGTAGAGTTAAAAAAAGAAAATATAAAGAAGAAAAGGAAAGATAGAAGAGAAAAATAGAGAAAGAAAGAGAGGGAGAACTACCATCTCTTTTTTTTTACTTCCCTCTCTCTCTCTCTCTCTCTTTCTCTTTCTCTGACACAGTACTTGCTATTGTTAATTGGCAACGACTAGAACGAACAAGTAGAGAGGGCTTTTCTCTTCTCTGGTGCAAACCAGTTGGATACTGGCCCTCCCCACTCTACTGTAAAACTCAGCCCTCTCACCCTCAACCCCTAACCCTTTCCTGTCCTTCATCCTGTCCTTTGTTTCCTTTCGTTGAACGTTTCATGCTTTTGTTCTATCCGTTACTGCCAATTAACGGGAAACGAGCGTCTACTATCGAATCGCGAACTCGTATGTTTTTTTTTTTTTTATATCTTTCTATCTTTATCTCTATCTTTAGATTTTTTTTATATCTTTTTATCATGAAATTTTTCGACTCCTCTAACATAGGACCGATGGATTTTCAAAAGAATATACTTTGAATTCATTTTAATTTACTACCCCCCATCATAGTTTCATCTGTAAACGACATCCCCATTGATTATTTCACTTTCTTTTTTTTTTTTCTCTTTCTATTTCTAAAGTTTATACCCCTCCCCTCCAATCCCCCCTTTTAAACATGTGTGTAAGTATGGTTTCTTTCTTTCTTTCTTTCTTTCTTTCTTTCTTTCTTTCTCTTACCATAATCGAAATACTTTTGTAGTCTATTTAGTATTTACGTTAGGAAAACTTTAGACTACCAATCAAAATGCTAGAAAAGTTTACGTCAAAAGGAAATACTACTACTTACTTACTTATTTATATGTAGTATTTACTTATACACTGTACCTATTACTATTACTACTACTACTACTGCTACTACAAAAGTCAAGAGTATATTTATAGCTTTTATACAAAATGTGAAAACGTCCGGTGAATATTTTTCTTTCAAATTTTCTTTTCAAATTTTCTCTTCCACACAGGAGGTTTATTTTTCTCTTTCTTTCTTTCTTTCTTTTTACATTATTACACATATATATATATATATATTTCTTAGATATATTATGTACGTGTACTCACACACGTGTATAAAGTACGTGTAAATTTCTTTTATTCAAGTCACGGAATATTATCGAAGAAATTTATGACGTAAAAAAAATCATCATCGTTTTGTTTATGTAACAAACAACGCATCCAATGATTGTACGAGATAAATTTCATCTATCTATCTATCTCTCTTTCTCTTTTTTTTTATTTACATATTTCTATCCATCTATCTATTTCTTTCATGTTCCTATTTTTCGATAGTATAAAATATTACTCCACCACATATCCGAACAATTTGAAATCGAGAAGATTCAGTTTGCATTGTACGAGGTTCCCCACCCCTCAATTCTTGAAAATTTAAACGTTCGTTATTATCGTTAGTTAGTTACAAAATTGACAAGCATAATTTCGTACCCGAACCGCATTAGCAATTACATTTTTCATTTATTTTTCTAAATTTCCATCAATTCATTATACCGATAGTCATACCCATTTAAATAGACTTGGACGTATTCATTGTTTAACTTCCTCTAACCATATACATTATTCAAATTTATTATCAAGCCATTATTGTTTATCATCTTTCCTATAGATACAATCACACGATCGATAAATTCAATTAATAATTATTCTATAATTGCAAATCTCTCTTCCCGTTCTCCTCTATTATCGTTTTGGTAATCAGAAATTATAAAAAGAAAAAAAAAATAAAAGAAACGTTATTTACATATATATATATATATAATTTAAAAAAGAGTTTATTTTTCAAACGTCACTGAAAGCTCGTTAATTTCACTTTTTATCATATTATTCTTCCCTCATTATTAGCTCGTTTCATTGGCGCAGCACATTTATAAATTGAAATAAGAAAACAATTCAAATTCGTAAATATAATTTCTCATTAATTATTTTCTACCTTTAAAATAGAGAGAGAGAGAGAGAGAGAGAGAGAGAGAAGAAAAGAATAAAAATAAACCCTTATTTAAATGATCGTTAAGAATAAAACATTGCGATTGGATTAGTTTTTTTTTTGTTCCTTTCCCTTTCTATTCTTCATCGGGAATTCATTTATATAACTTTTTCAATTAGATCGAATCCGAATAAATGCCAAGTTGAAACCACAAAGTGCCATCAGGCACCCAAGCTGACTTTTTCATTGGACGTATTCTCTCTTTAAGGATTTTAAGACATTATTGTAGTAGTTCTATCTTGAATGAATGAATCTTTACTTTGAAAATGCAAAATGGAAATCTCTTTTGAAGGAATCAATTTTCTTCTTCTTCTACTACTACTATTTCTATAGTTCTTATAGAATTATAATGCAAGAACCAATCAAGTTTATTCTTGCCATAACTCTTACCTAAACTTGATTTAATTTAAAATGGCGGCTCCTTCATATTATTCCTTTCATTTATCTTAATTTCTTTCAACAATCAATATTATATATATATATATATATATATATAATTCTATTGATCGGATAAGAAGATAAAAGCTTTTCGTTATTCGATCAATGACTATTCTATTCCATCGAATTTGAATATTATGTTTGAAGGTATTCCTTATCGATCGGTTATCTTCAATGTAATTCTTACTAATGAATGCAATTTTATATTTATTTTATATTTTTCTTTTTTTTATAAACTCCATCGAATACGTACAAAGTTTTTGCGTTCTCCAAAATGGCGGAAACGATACTCGGACATATATTACAATTTAATAGATAATAAATAAATGTAACAATCCAATATATAATAGTATTTAAATATAATACTTTTCGCGTTAACAAAATTAAAATAAGAGAAATAGAATAAAAAGTGAAGAATTTAGTTGTGATCGAAATGTGTTGAAAGTGACGTAAACATTGTTAACGTCGATCAAAGTTTTGACCTCGATACAGGCTCTTTAACTCTTTTTATCTCTCGGAAACTTTTGAAACGATGAACAAACGATGAGTGGGAAAATACATTCTCTCTCTTGGTTCGTCTCGTAGAAGTACACGTATCGAAAGGATAATACGATTCGATTCGAAATGTCGCGCCAAAACGACAGGTGCAGACCATTGGAAGCTTTCCCAGAGGTAAAAAACGAAAAAGAAATAATAATTCAATAAAAGACCTTTGTGTGTTAAAAATCATTTCGTTCTGACGATTTTGAAAAATACAAAAAAAATCAAACAAATGTATAAATAGTTAAGGATATTGTCAATATAATTACATATATATATACTTATATGGTGATAATTAATAATACCGTAGCATATGCAATTATATTGTCGTTCGAAGCACGTCATTATTAGCATGGTATATGATCATCATGAAATCCTGTCATGTGTACTTTAATAAGATTACATGGATGCATTTACGTATATTGCAATTTCACCTGTAGTAATCGAATGAGGTGTATACGTATTCGCATGTGTAATATGAGATGATAATACAGAGGTATACATAAAGATATGTTTCAGATATATTCTGTAAAATTGTTATCGTTACTTTTTATTCATTTTAGTATTAACATATTAACGAAAAAAATACTAATATTATTAATCGTAGAAATGTTACAAATAATCATATGAAAATAAGAAACATTATATAT